TGGATGTCCTGGACAAGTTGAATATTGCGGACTGGAGCACATCAAAGCCGATTTTGGCGCAGATCAGATCAGCAAGCTCCCACGTGCGTTTATCTGCGTCCAAATCCTACCTGCTCCTAGGAATGCAGAAAGACCTTGCGATGTCAATTTCCGAGTGGATGGTATCGCGAGGCGCACGGCATGTGGTGTTTGCCGGCACCGCCTGTGATATCAATTTTGATAAAGGGTGGGTAGAGGATATGGCTACCAATGGAGCCGGTATTCATTGCTTGACAACGTAAGCACCATTTTATTATTTAAATGTCCTGAAAACTAAACTAACCAAATCCAGCGATATCTCAAACCGGCAGTCCGTACTGCTTTTAGAGCGTTTCACTCGTGCACTTCCTCCAGTGGGAGGAATGATATATGGTGCTCTGGCCCAGCTTCCGCCTGACAACATCGTCCCAATGACTCCTCAAAATGGATATTCGAGCCCCATAACATATCTGTTGGAAATTAGTATCATGCTGGACGAACTGTATAATCACCCGAGTATGGAATTTTTCATCTTTGTTGGCAGTCTTTCTGGTCATTTCGGTCATTCAAACATGGTAAACTGCGCTGCTGCGTCGGAGTTCTCCTCCGCTCTGATTCACCAGCGCCGTTCTCGGGGCTTCTGTGGAAGTATCGTCTTTGTCTCACAGATCAGCGACCCCAAATCCGAATCTAAGTTTCCTGGCCAGAAGTCCCTGTCCGAGCATGATTGGGATGAGGTATTTGCAGAGGCTATCTTGGCTGGCGATCCTGAGTCTACTGAGAATTTCGAGATCACTGCCGGTCTACGGCCCATCAAGCCGGAACACCCGGAGATGTCCTGGAATCGGATGCCTAAGATGTGGAATTTCGTCCATCATCATGAGGAGTCCAATGTTGTTTTACCTAGCAGCAGTGTGGTCATTACCATGAGCGTTCTCCTGGAAAGAGCAACCAGTCAGGAAGAGGTCACCGAGATCATCACCTCGCACCTTCTCGCACAGCTGCGTACCAAATTGGGTCTGTCTATGGAAGCGGTCCTTGTGCCAGAGACTCAGCTGAGTGAACTGGGCGTAGACTCGTTGATGGCTGCCGATTTGCGGACATGGTTCCTAAAAAAACTAGGTGTTGATATACCCATTCTTTTAATGCTGAGCGGATCATCCATCCAGGTAATTGCCAGTAGTGCAGCCGACAAACTGGATCCAAACACGATACCGCATGTGAATTAATTTTGATTAGATTATATTTGTCAGATAGTGAATGAAAATTTCGACACCTAAGTTTCACCTATCGCATGGTGCCAAATGGAGACTGTGGAGTTGCTGCAAGGAATACATGTGATCAATATATACATCTGGTTACGAGATGCATTACATGTATTTAGTCTACATACTAGAAATACCTATAAAGATGAAGATGATGTCCATACTGACGGCGTCTCAAAAAAATTATTTTCCGTCTTCTACGTTTCTCATCAACCCCACTCTCATCTCATGGATATTGTAAGCTTTGCTTTCAGTGGCCCTGCCACCCATGCCGATCAACCGCCCATATACATCGATGCAGAAAATCCATCGCGCTCACTAAGCGAGGCCCCTTTTCGGCATCTTGTGCGGTCACTTATAGCAGGGTTCAAAGCCCACGGTATTGAACACGGTGATACGGTGCTGGTGCAGCTCGACAATGCCGTAGGTCTTTCTCTTTGCCTCTAACGCCACATAGATATTTTCTTACCCCCGCCACGGCAGGTCATTCACTCCGCACTTCTTCTTGGCATCATTGGTGCTGGGGGCGTCTATATGGGCTGTAGCCCATCCAGTCCCCGCCACGAATTCGACCATTTTGTCTCTCTCGTGGAGCCCCGTCTAATCCTCACTGTTGCCTCTGCACTGCCCGTCGTGCGCGATGTCTGCACCATCAAAGGGATCCCCTTAGGCCAGATCTGCCTCGTCGACGATCGATGCGTCGATCATCTCGTGTCATTTGCCCGGAATCAGGTTGACAACCCGCAGGCTACGTCACCAGTCCGAGACGAGGGAGTGCCATTCGGCCTTGGGGATCTGGTCTCCTTTGGTCAAAGCGACTGGATGCGTATTGACGATGAAGCTACGGCAAAAATCACACCTGCCGCCATGTTCTCGACCAGCGGTACCAGTGGTCTGCCCAAAGCAGCCATTCGCACTCACTATACCATCATTTCCCATCATCAAACAGTTCATTACGATGTCCCATACCCCGTCACACGTCTAATGGTTCTGCCCATGTCTCATTCCTTTGGTGACTTCTGGTCAAATCTGTTCCCAATTCGCTATGGCCATCCCTTGTATGTCATGCCGCGATTCGACTTGTCTAAGTTTCTCAATGTTGTTCATTGCTATAATATTACGGAGACGTACCTGGTCCCGGCGATGGTCCACATTCTGAACCAGTCCACCCTCCCTGTCCGCGAGAGCCTCAGTTCTTTGTTTTACATCGGTGTCTCTGGGGCTCCAATTGACGCGCATTCCTTGCAGCGATGTCAAGAGTTGCTCAATCCGCAGGCCAGCATCGGACAACTATGGGGTATGACCGAGGTGGGTGTTGTCTTTCAGAACCGTTACGGTAACCAGCGGTACCCAGGAAGTATTGGGAAACTCTTGGATAACTATGATATCCGCCTTATCCGGTCAGACGATGGGACAACTATCGATATGGAATGCACACCAGGAGAGCTGTATGTTCGTGGTCCGGGAATCATGCTCGCCTACAAGGGCCGCGATAATGCCACTGATGACGGGGGCTGGTTTCGTACAGGTGACATAGCATACTGTGAGGATGAGCATTATCATATCGTTGGGAGGACTAAGGAACTTATCAAAGTTCGAGGGTAAGTGTGCTGTTATATCTTGATCATTTGTTGGAAAATGATTGACTTGTTTAATCGGCCAGGTATTCCGTCGCTCCCGCTGAGATTGAGGCAGTCCTTCTCAAAGACCCTCGGGTGCATGATACGATGGTGATCGGCATCACCCTGCCCGACGGCAGCACCGAGGTCCCTAGAGCGTATGTGGTATGTGCACGTGGGCTGGCTAGACCCACGGCGGACGAGATCTCGGCGCTCGCACTGAACAATCTTGCTAGTTACAAGGCTTTGGACGGTGGGGTAGTTTTTGTAGAAAGTTTGCCCCGAACGGCGATTGGCAAGCCCCATCGCTCCAAACTATCGGAGCTGGATGCACAGCGAACAAAAATAGCTGCATTGCTGTCGCCCTCTCACGCTCTTTGCTGAAATTATGAGACCCTGGATTCGCTAAAGTGACATATGCGGTGCATTTTTTCTATTTTTTTGGCTGAGGATTTACATATTATCTTTTTTTCTTCCTACATCCATGGATACATGCACGCATTTGGTTCCAATACCATCCTGGCTCGAAATTATTCGAAATTACATTATTCCTACTGCATCGAGTTTCCCACTGAGATTTAGAATTTCTGATCCAACCCTTGTTACAAATACCCTGCAGAGTCTTGAGCTGATATCAAACTCTCGTTTTGAACCCTACCGTACATACGGTTGAGTGGAGGGGCTTAGAAAAAGTGCCTGCAACAGGCTTACACCGTACGCTAGTCCAATGTTTTCTCAGTTTGGACCCACGTGCAGGCCCTACTAGATCAAGTCGATGTCTCTGAAGTCTCTGAAGAAGAGTTATCCTACATAGCCATGCATGCATTCAAACTTACAACCCCTTACCCTGCCTAGTAAAACGGTGTATATTGCATCTGTGCTGCAAAATTGCCTGTAAATTGCAAGACTTAATACTACAACAATCGCGTGATCGCATAATTACTAGGATCATTGGATATGCCATTTAGTGTGAATTTATTCTAAACCATTGTTGAACATATTGTATCAGTGGTAGTGATTTGTGCCAGAATTTGCCTACTCAGCAAGTATGTTTATTTTGCAGTTTGTAGCAGAACTATGAAGCAGAGACGCCATACGTACTGAATTGCAATTGCAATTTGCGGAGCAAGACTACATGCCCGTTCTCCTACGTATCAAGACTCGCGTAGATGGATCAGGCAGCAGAACTTCATCAGCCGAGAAGACTTTTGGTCGCGAGGCCCCTGGAGGAAATTGGACGTCATAATCCATCAGCAAGTGAGAGATGATCATTTTGATCTCATAGGCCGCGAAGAAACGACCGGGACAAGCATATTTGCCATGACCAAAATGCAGGCTGTTCTTGTCGGTCGTGGCAAACTGATATTTGTGCGCCTCACCGGAGTTCTGGCGTCTTCTTGAGTATCGAAATCCATCAAAGGAGGAATCAAATTCAGCTCCTTGGAGGACTTCTGCAGCCGGTACACTGATATGGGTGCCCTTAGGAAGAGTAGTTCCATCTGAGAGAGTCAGGTCTTGCATGACAATTCGCTGGAAGCTCACTGTGTCGCAAATTCTTCAGTGTTAGTCAAGAAAGGAAAAAAAGGGATTTATATCTTGGGTAAGAGATACACACATAAACTAGGGGGCTCAGCCGCTGGCTCTCCTTGATGAAACTATCTAATTTATGCATCTTGCCGAGAGTAGTCTTTGCCCATTTACCCCCTTGTTCGAGCGAGTCGGTGATCTCCTGTCGCAGCGGTTCAACAAATTCAGGAAACTGGCAGAGATCATAAATGGCGTACGACACGGCCATCGTCGTTGTGTGAATAGCGGCCAGGCTGAGAACGAGTTGCCGGTGGGCCAGCTTGTCAGGTTGACCGTCCCTGAGGTTGGCCGCATCTATCATCCACTGTAGAAGATCAGTCGGTTTCTCATACCCAGGCTCCCCTGAGGCCTCGTCGGCTGTTCGTTGTTTCACAATGGGGCTGATGATGCGTTTGGCCGTTTGCAAGTCCCTGTGAACGGCCCAGTAGCTGGGAAGAAGAGGTGCCACCACGGGGTGTAGGAACTTCGGCAGTCGTCGAAGAATCGCTATCGTGAGAAAAGCATGTTCCGTGAATCGGATTGATGTGTCAAGCCATTCTTGGTTGCGACAGGTCGGTTGACCTACAAACACTCTTGCCGATATCCGGGCCACTAGGTGGAGGATGATCTCGTAAATTGAAACATCCTTCCAGTCCCCATGGGTGGGCGGAATTTCTTCCTCCATAGCAAACCGAAGTTCCTCTTCGATTGTGCTGATCATAGATCCCAAATTTGGTGTCAATTTAGTCTGCAAGACATGGGTGTGTAAATTCCCCTCCTGCAGGATATCTATTGTCGAATACTTTCCCAACAGATTCTACAGGTAGAAGGATTATTAACCTATATCTCAACGTTCTGCCCTAAAATTACACTTACTTTCATGTGCGCTCCAATCGCACTAACATGCTCTTCCGGCTTTGAGTGTAACTCGTCGACATAGCGGTTAGGGATGACTAGGATATCGGTATCGTTTCGAGCGACTTTGAAAATTCCATCGTTAAACTAAACTCAGTCAGTTGTCTGCTTTCCCGAGCGAGAGGGCAGATACCTTTTTACAGCCTTCTGCCAGGTGTTCAAGACCAGCTTGAGAGAATCGGAGGCCGATCAACCATTTGGGCTCCCATGAAAACCGACGTCCAACGAACGGCGCTCTAAAACTTCTTGAACGGGTGATTCCTTTCTGAATCAAATAGATTGTGGTCACAATTATCAAAATAGTGATAAAGACATTGTACAAGGTCAGTAACCCCTTGTCTTGGCGTTTAGACGTTAATTGAGACAGAACGGTGGATGAATTGTTGGGGTTCATGGCACTGGTTTCGCTTCAGAGGGAAATAGGAGACCGACTGCTACGTTCGAGAAACAATTTTTTTACAAACTCACTAGCAATGGCTGTCGAGAACACAGCGGCAAGGGGCTCGGGACGATTGGAAGTGGTCACCCCTTGCTTTTCTGACGCTGTAGAATCAGTAAAATCGATTGATCAACCTTGGAAGGCATCTGTGGACATTATCACTAGGATATGCTGATACTCCGTCTTTATTCGGTAGTTCTATACGTATGCATGTACTTGCTTCTCCACTACGGAGTACTCTGTGCCAACTTCATTGTTGAGAGGACATAATTATTAATTCATTTGAATCAGATTCATGGCAATTCGTCCCATGATCCTCGGATGATCCTAACCTTGAGCTATGCCGCATGCGATACGTCCAATTCAACGTCTCACCGAATTTTTGACCGCAACTACTCCGTACACTGAGTATTAATCATATTCTTCAAAAGCTAAATCTACTCATCTCAGCCGACCTCCCTCTTGTTTTGGATTCCCTGGTCTTACTTTCTTTCGCAACAACATGACTATCGTATCCCCTCACAACAAACTTCCCTCTGCCCGGGCGGTGAAACTCACCGCACCCTTAGAAGATATTTATCAGATCATAAATGATGATGGGGCTGTCATCATCAAGAACTTCCTTCCGCTGGAGTTAGTGGACAAGATCAACAAAGAGGCCGATCCGTACTTAGCACAACATGCGGCCGGTCCCAATCATATGTCGGAAATCTACAAATTAACGGTCGGAGCCAAAACCAAGCACATGGGAAATTTGATCATGGTTTCAAAGTCATTTCGGGAAGAAGTTCTCAATCATCCGTTGATACATGCTATTTCGGAGAAGCTGTTTCGTGCCAACTTTGGGGACTACTGGGTGAATCGGGCCGCTGTGCTGGAGGTTCATTCCGGTGAAAAGGCCCAAAGCCTTCATCGAGACGACAGTCTCTACCCCTGGAAACCTTTTCTAGGGACGGACTCGCCGGAACTGATGGTCAATTTTTTCATCGCTTTGACTGAGTTTCGCGAGGAAAACGGTGCGACTAGACTGGTACTAGGAAGCCACAACTGGGAAGATTCGAACAGGTATCCGTCTCCCAAGCAAACTATTCCTGCCGAAATGCAAGCAGGTGATGCGGTGGTGTACGTGGCAAGCTTGTTCCATGGAGCAGGCCAGAACCGCTCTCAGGAAACTCGTCGTGGATTGAGCATATCTATGCACCCTGCTCATTTTACTCCCATGGAGTCCCACGTTGATGTGCCGCGGGCCATTATTGAGACTATGACACCTCTAGCTCAAAGGATGATAGGCTGGAGGACATGGAGTACGAATCATGGAGTGCCAGTGTGGACTATCAGAGACGGGAGGATGGAAGATGAGTTGAAGCTGAAATCCCTGGAGTCATCCAAGCCAGTATAAACTGCTGTGATCTAGATATGGCTTTTCAGGCTACTTCCTCTCTTACAAATCTTTCAATTTCGTCTCACGATGAGAGCTTCTGTCACCCATCGCACTATTCAGGATATATTGCTCTTAGGACTACAACATAGTTGCATTACCCTCATGTATGTTGTATACCCCATGAGAGGAATTAAACCATCGTAAAAATCATGGTGTGCAGAGTAATGCAAGGGATTCTCAAGAAGAATTCCCGACAAAAAGGGGTACGTAGCCAGGTTTGTGTCCACTTTGAATGTCCTAGGTTACTAGGTGGAGGGCTATGATTTTTGGTGGGAGAAAAAGGGGGTCTAACATGGAAAGGAAAAAGGAGAGCGAAATCATAAGAGGCAGTCCCGGAGAGCTGTTCTACAAGATACTAGTATAGGGGAATTCGTTTTTAGGCGTGAGAACATGTTATGCAAGGGTTGATATTCCCCACAACAATTAGATCATTACCGAGTACGGCTACTAGATACCTACAACATATGGTGAGCATGTGCAAGCTCCTTCCCTGTGGTAACAAATACTCTGAACAGCATAGACGTCAAATGTGGCGGTAATATTGTTTTCGTGCATGTCATCTCATATCAAATTACTATCAGCCTCGACAGGTATCTAAACACATCTTACCTTTGGTCTAAACCTTTGAAATCACTAATATTGATTCCTCATTTAACTGGAGAACAGTACTCCATACGTAGTGAGTGTTCAATATCTTTTTTGATCCCCTTCTCCTAACGCGATAAGAGGCAGTATCCAATACCCACTTGATGCGAGCGACCATGGTCAAAATTGGAGGTGGTGGCACCATTTCCTCTGCTCAAGGGTCTCAAATTTCCAGCTCACGGAACACAATCGATGATTTAGACGAACACAAGACAGAAACTTCAACCCAGCGCATTCACTACAGCGAAAATGGCGCACAAATCACTACCTTTCATCGAAAATCTCCAAATGAAAGTAACGCAACACCGGCCGCAATCGGCCAGGAGAGCTTTCAGTCAGATTCGCAGGATTATCCCAATTCCTGGAGATTAGCCGCTATTATGATCAGCGTGTGTCTCGCTGTGTTTAGTATGGCATTGGTATGACCACCCTATATCAGTCCTCTTGCCGCAGAGTGTCTAATATGAATCTCGGTAATTCTCAGGACAATACCATCTTAGCCACTGCGATTCCCAAGATCACAGATCAATTCACTTCGTTGGGAGATGTAGGCTGGTATGGGAGTGTTTACCCGCTGACGAATTGCTGTCTTACGCTCGTCTTCGGCAAACTTTATACATTCTATTCCACCAAATCGGTGTATCTGACTGCGCTCGGGATTTTCGAAATTGGGTCCTTGGTCTGTGGTGCAACACCCAGCTCGCTAGGATTAATCATCGGACGAGCCATTGCCGGCCTTGGTTCCTCCGGAATCTACTTGGGTTCCATGATTATACTTTCCCAAAGCGTGCCGCTGCAAAAGCGGCCACTATGCACATCGTTAGTCGGTGGTTTGTACGGAGTGGCCGGGGTGGCTGGGCCTCTATTGGGCGGTGCTTTCACGGACTATGTCTCTTGGAGATGGTGCTTCTATATCAATCCTCTATTTGGCGCAGTCACAGCACTCTTCATTTTATTATTCTTCGATGCGAAGGAGCCAATCAATTCCCCTGGCAAGATCAAAGAACAAATTTCGCAGTTTGATCTGGTCGGACTCTTCTTTTTCCTCCCAGGTATGATTAGCCTTTTGTTGGCGCTGCAGTGGGGAGGCCAACAATATAACTGGGGAAACGGGCGCATTATCGGACTTTTCGTGGCTTCTATCTGTCTACTGTCGATTTTCATCGTGGTGCAGTGGCGAAAAAAGGAGAGAGCCACAGTAGTTCTTCGAATGATCAAAAACAAGAACGTCTGGGGCGCTTCCTTATTTAACTTCGGTATAACTGGTTCATTTCTCGTCTTTTCCTACTACGTGAGTCTGTTCACCTTCGTTCATGAATCTAGTAGCCATACTGATTGCTACAATTCACAGCTGCCTATATGGTTCCAAAGTATTAAGGATGTATCTGCAACAAAATCAGGCCTGATGAACCTTCCAATGCTCTTAGGGGTAATTTTATGCTCTATTGTCTCAGGATACGGGGTCAGCAAAATAGGATACTACACTCCATTCATGTATTTTGCACCGATTGTTTCTACTATTGGTGCCGGACTGCTTTCAACCTTTGAGACCGATTTTGGGCCATCGCAATGGATAGGGTACCAAGCCCTTTATGGAATCGGAATTGGATTGGGGCTATCACAACCCATAGTGGTCATCCAAGCGGCGATTCCCCTTGTTGAAATTCCCAGGTCAATTGCAATTGTCACATTCATGCAGTCGATGGGGGGTTCTGTGTCAGTTTCGGTAGCGCAGAACATCTTCCGAAACCAGCTCTTACGGGGATTGGCCCGGAGTGCACCCAATGTTGACGTTCACAAGTTGATCACAGCTGGTCCTACTACGTTACGAAATGTAGTCCCAGCAGAGCTGTTGGAGGGTGTGCTGGTGGCTTATAATTCCGCCATCACCTATGCGTTTTACGTCGGGGCCGCATTTTCGGTACTCGCCATGATTGGAGCGCTGCCGATTCAGTGGATATCTGTGAAGCGAAAAGATTAAAGGCTACTTCTACATGATTCTAAAAATACAAGCTTCAAGCAGTAAGATCAGCCAAATTCAAAAGATAAATCTCACCCACGAACAAGACAAGGCCATTTCCATAGACAATTCATGCTCTAATATAAGTATGTAACCTCTATGGTGTAGATGTCTAAATCGTATAAAAATGCAACGTTCTATAACCTATACTGATATCTATTATCCTCGTACGCGGTTCCTTTTGAAGAACTACAACAATTTTGATATATCTTTACTTCTTTACATCTTTCAACCCCTGTTTCGGTAGTCGGTCTCATAATAATATAGCTATCTCAGACTTTATTGAACAAAGCAAAACCTACTACTTGCTGTCCTCAGTTTCAAGCCCAGACTCGTCCTCCGAAGTAGTATGATCGAAAATTCCCGGGGCCAAGATTGATGGCCGAGCCTTAACACCTTTGGAAAGCAGGCCCAGGAGAAGTTTATCGTCATCCAGCCGACTTCCTGCGGCCCCGTCTAAGACAAATTTGTAGTCATGGCCCATCTCCTCTACGAGGGCCAAGAGCATGTTGCGTGGGAGGTACTTCCCCGCGGTCCCCCAGAATGGCTTCCCCTTTTCGGCTTGCAGAATTGCTGCCGCTTGGCTTGATTTTCCCTGGCTGCTATGCTGCCAGAACATTCGCAGCATCTCCACACAGTAGTGGAAGTACAGGTATCTCGCTGCTGGTCTGAAGCTCGAATGGAACTTCAGCGGACGGCCGTCCATCTCGCTGAAGGTCAGGGGCAGCTGTCTAACGATCATCTTGTTTCCCTTCTCCCAGTCCGGATCGATCACTCGGACACGGTAATCACGGGGTTCACTGTTGAGCCACCGCTTGACTGCGGACACCATTACATTCTCCTGAATATCTGGAATGTCAGGAACTATCACGAACTTCCCGGCATCAAAGTAGCGCTCCCAACTTTTGCACAGAAGGAGGCCGTTGCGGGGCGAGAAGAGTTCTGCCGGCCTTTTTTTGCCAAATATCCCGTCCATAGTATCTTGGCCGTTCCTGTACGGAAAAAGATGAGATGCTTGAACCTGATCCTCGTCCACATAATCACCGATGATCGGATCCCATAGCCATGATTGAGTTGGATGTTTAGCCCCGTACATTTCGATCATGGTGCTACGGAAATTGGCCTGCTGGCTTGGGTCCCGGCCTCCTGCGCCTGTATTTTCGATGGCCATACCCATTGTGGAGGTGGTGAAGAGTTTCATAAAAGATGTCCGCAGACTCTTACGATGTGGAGCGTTCTCGATCTGGCTAACCCGGTCTTCGCAGATTTTCTTGGTCTGTTCCTGGGCTTTAATTCTTTCAAGTATGCACTTGGCCTCATCCGTCTTCTTCCATTCATCTTCTAGACCCTCAAAACTGCCGAGGGAAATCTTTCTATCGACCTCTGACCTTTCGAGGCGGATCTTTTCAACTTTAACAGCTTGGCTCCAGAACTTCAGGTCAAAGGACCCATGCGCTTTCCAAGGCTTGCGGGCGGTTTTCAAGTCCGCTCTCAGTTCGTGCTTTCTTTTTTTGAGGATCCGGATTTCTTCTGGTCCGGTCTGGAGAGATTCCATTGATTGATTGTGGGAATCCATCATGATGTTTGTGTTTTAGGTATCAAGTTCTTCACGTAGGCAGTGGAGGTTCAGGTCTAGAAATTTGATCTTCAAGTCCGAAATTGTCTGCTTCATCGGAGAGATTAGATTCTCAAGCTCGAAGGTTCGGAAGTGATTTGAAATCTTACGTCCTTCACGTCCAGGAAGTTGGGGTTTCAGACAGCGCTCATTCAGGTTTTCGGCACAAGTTCTCCGCCAGGAAGTTCAGGTTTGATAGATGTTCAGATTTCAACGCAGAGATTAAAATTCTTGAGTAGGAAGTTCGAGAAGAGATGATATTTAGGTCCTGTCGACCTTTTAGCTGGAAGATTAGAGTTTTTAAAAAGACACAAGATTTAGGTTTCTAGCCAGGAGATTCGACATTTCATAATGTTCGGCCTTCTCTTAGGTTCAAGATACAAGGTTATACTTCACAGTCTAGAGATTCAAGCCTTGGATGTGCAAATTCGAGGTACTTGATAGGTAGAGGCTACGAGGTTAGAAAAATACATACCTGTATACTACTGTAGAAGTAAAATTGCAGCTACTAAGCCTATTTAGGTAATATTGTACTACCAGTAATTTTGAATCTACCAAGGTACACGTTTCTACGCTTTTCCAAGGTTCTTGTGGTGGGAGTTCTACTTGATTACATATACATCTATGCATAGCCCTGTAGGTAATAGAGCGATTCCATTTTCGCGATGTCCGACTGCGGAATAGGCAAGAAGGAACTACCTACGACTTACTATGGTACTTCCTTGGCTCTGCTCTCTAAGATATACTAAAAAGAGATATATAAAAGATTCCAAAAAGGGTACCAAGAAGGATACTATCAAATACCGAATCTAGAAAGATAAATCCTTCCCACCTCGACTTAGCAATCTCTTACATCGATCGTCTAATAATATGTGTACAAATCTTGTTGAAATTAAAGCTTGGAGAATATGTTGGCTTGGCACTCCAATTGACAAAAAAAAGAGACGGCCTTGTAATGTTTCCAAGGTTGTCGATGACATTAGGTGGCAATCCGGTTTCGATCTTGAATGACGTAAAGGACCGCAACGATGACTATTTATCCATCGCCACAATCAGAATGTTGGCTATAACCCTTGCCCTCCTGTATAAAGGTGAGTATGAACAACCATTCCAGAAAATTGAGCTCCGAATAACATCCTCACAGTATTGGATAATTATGCCTGAGCTCGATAAGGACAAGAACAAAGAGACGCCTTCGAGTCCTCTCCCCAAAGATCTTCAAGATCTCGTGGATAAGGATGAAGAGGATAGAGAAATCCGCGCCGACTACGAAAATTCATGGACCACAACGTGAGTAAACATATTTCTGTAAATATCGGAATCCTTGGATATCTGACAAGTTCACAAGACGTTCCGAGGATAACGATTCTACCGAATCTGTGAACACATCAGAAAATACGAAAGATCAACTGCTGGATAGAGGAGCGGAAAAGAAAAAACAATGATCTATTGATATTTGCTGAGGCTGATGCAGCTCCGGGACAAGCCCATAACAGCAGCTGAAATGACCCCGAAATAGCAACACGCCGTGTGGTAGACAATATATTAGTAACTTACATCTTCCTGTCTATCTAATATATTATCAGAACGCAACATCTCAGAAGGTGCTGCCTATTGTATGTCATATTAGTTCCCCTTACCACTTGGGCAGCATGTTGAGCTAAATTCTCCGCTAGTTACTTGATTGTCTGCAGTAGAAAGTTGGAGAAATCCAGTTTTTGAGTGCGATTTAAATAAAACTAGTAATAGGGTGGTAAGCGAAGTGTTTTGAGGAGGTAATACTAGGAGCATAGGCTGGAATGGGAAACGGTAGGTCAATTCAGTAGCCCCCACTGTGAGGTTTTTTACGTGGCTAGGATCGAGACCGCTAGAATAAGCGGTCACGTCGCCAGTCTTTATTTATATACGATCTGAATGGGAAGGACTAGATGTGATGTGATTATTGCTCTAGGTTTTAATGATCTAGTTATCTTCCTCTTCTGTCCCGCAAAAGTCGCAGTCGTTGAAGTGGATCGCGATTGAAGGGGCGCGTTGGGGGGATACCGGTCGGACTGAGTGGGCTGTGGTGTCCCGCACGATAATCCCTTGTTCTGCCTCGTATCGCTGACAGGCGGACTTGGTCGACTCCCTTCCCACCGACAGAGATTGGAGATCTCCTCCTCTGTCAGGCCGAGTTCGTCAAATATCCGGAATAGCTTTTGGTGCCGTGGGAAACGACCCAGTCGCATGCGATGCGGTCCATATGAGTACTAATCGTTTACTATGTACGGCACTTCACGACCCTCTGGCATAAATACAACCATGATTTCTTTTGACCTGTTGCACTCTGTAAAGCTTTTGATATGCTCTCTCAATTTGGGGTCATCCTGCCTTTCCCGGCTATCATCGTTTGCTCGTTTGGGGATACATACGAGATATCGATGTAAGCCTGGCTGGACGAGCAGATGAATGGTACTCCTTTGGGTGTGGCATGTCGTGATTGACTGGGACCTCGATCCATTCCCAGATAGAGGTACAGTGGATTGCCACAAAATACCAATGGGCGTGACAATTGCGACTAGACTTCCGCAAAACCCAGAAATAGGCCCCCACCCTAGGCCCAAAGCCCAACCCGCAATGGGCTATAGGCCTAACCTTCGAAACCCGACCCAACCCGTAGCCTACTAATAGGGGCCTCATGGGCCCCTATTAAAGCCTATCTTATCGGCCTCTGTAATCGCTGTATTACGACCTTCTACCGGGTATATAAAGTTCAAATTCAAAATTCAGAATTGTACTAGCTATATAAGTATATATTTCAATTTTGAATAAAATCTAACCAGTAGAGGTCGAGATACTCCGAAAATAGGCTAATCTTAATGTTTTGGTGAGATATATATTTTGGGTTTGTACAGGAATCCTACTACTTTCTACGTGAACTTCTGTAATTTATAAATTGTCTAGATAACGCGCTTTCTCGCATTTTTAACCGTGATATAGAGAGATAACTAGTAATTGATTCTAAATAATTTAAACCAATAAAATATTACCTTTAGAATAAGGGTTAGAAACGGGGGTAAAACGAAGGGTAATTATAAAAACCCTTTTAGGGGGTCTAACTTAGTATATTTGTATTGTTCGGGGCCTAGGGGCCCCTCCCTATTAAAGCCTAGTGGGCTTTCACCCCGGGCCTATAGCCTATCGATAGGCCTAAGGACCGGGCCCAAAACCCGGCCCATTTACGGGTTGGGTCGGGTTGGGCTTTGGGCTTTGTGGGCCGGTGCAGAAGTCTAATTGCGACTGTTCACCGAGCCGTCGAACGATTTCTTGACATCGGCTTTCATAAACCCTGCAAACCTCACACAATAGAAATCGCACAATTCTGGACATAGTCCTCCGAGTGGGTCTAGATACATGACTTCTCAAGGCTAATAGCTCACTGCTAGCAAGGTTGCGACTAGCCATCGCAATATCATTGGGGCAGACTTACCCAGATTCACTGACCCAGATACACTGCGGACGAAGTCGTGTATCACCTAAGGCCCGAATGAAAGAAATTTTGGACTGATCGGAAAGTAGCGTTTTTATATTGTGGCCGAAGAAGGATTTTCAAGAGGTCTTTAAGAGTAGGCCTTCGGATGGAATTGTGATTGGAGAGGCAGTAACCCTTTTGTAGGAAGAGAAATCTAATCTTTATTAAACAAGAATAAGTAAAGGCAATCCAGAGACATATTCGACAACAGTTATATATGATGCTTAACCTTGAGCATATAACCGATATCAATAGCTGTTTGTGATATTCAAACATAATCTGTATAAAACCCAAACAATGCATTCGAACAAGTGGAATATCTCGCCACACCATAGTCGTTGAGTCTTTCCGTTTTACAGGCGTTTAGGTGGTCCATTTTCTCAACGTTCGGTCATTCATGATCTATTATACTAGTGGATCTATTATACTAGTGATATCAAACATTGCTTTCATGAAAATCGATGGCTATATTTCACTCCAGACACCTTATTCTTGCGCCTAGCCGCCATCCTTGAGAGAATACTGGACCGGAAAGAAGCATCCTCGTATTCATCTGACTGATCCGGCTCTGATTGCCGTGTTTCTATGATCGGTTGAACGTGTCTCTTCTGAATGCTTCTCTCCTGACGATGAGAGACAGAAATAGCTATATAGAAGCAATGAGCAGAAGGATTTCAGTCAAAGCCAGTACGACCCTTCTCTCCAGCACCAGACGAACCACAAGAGAGAGCAGAAGAGGGGAAAGAATATACTAGGGCGCCATTTCGTCTTCGCACATTCAGACTCTGAGATAAAAGAAGCGGATAAACAGCCGCAGATGAGGACACACAATTTAAGTGAGGAACTCAGATTTGGGTATGAATTAGCAGGGTTGGGAACCAGCAAGCAACCATAACGAAAATTTGGCGGTGTTTCTCTTTGAACGTAGTGTATTGGTTCAACTTCATATTACACGGTCGCAAACTGTACTACTTTGTTAACCTTGTTCTAGCATGTTTGTTTAAGAATAATTTACATTTGAATATAACAGCCATATTACATCTGTTCCATACTTTGCTGGGTATCCCGATAATGGGAAATACGATCCTTGGAAAACACGATCTTTGGAAAACTGTGAATGTGAGAGTTTCCTATTTCTCTCTTTGCGTATCTTTCGGTCGCAGATTCCATACACAAAAAAGCGATCGTCGAATTGTCTGAATCTCATCATAGCGGTCGAGAATAAACATCGCAGTAAGCAAAGCGTAAAAATCCACACCACGTAAATACCTATCTGCCAATTCTATACGTCTATTGACTACATTTAACCGTGTCACCCAAACAAACATAGCCGTGCTTTGACAGCGCCAAATTAGCCAAATTGGCCACTTTTTATACACTGTCTATCCTCCAGCACCGCAACCGCGATTGACCACAAGAATCACCAAGCTCCACGGGAATTTTAAATAATAGCCACCATTTTCCAACACTTACAAGGATTTATTTTCGAAGAAAGAAGTGGACCTTGAAAGAAGGGCTAACCTCTTTTGCAACTCTTCCACTGCTTAGTAACTTCAACCATCGAGCAGGGAATAAACGCCGTGCGTTACCTCTGCTAACCTACTCAGGCCGTAAGAAATACAAACATGCCGAGAAAAGCGTACTTATAGAAATTATCAAATAATATTTTCCAAGACTATTAGCATCAGCTAAGCTGTAGTTGAGTGGCAGCTTGCCCCTCGCCTTTCCAGTGATACTACCTTAACTCTCAGAATATACAGAAGGGTACACCGGGTGTAGGAGTAGATAAATACCTACTATATTAGCTTCCGCTATAAAAACCCCCCAATACACTCAAATTCCTTCACCGATATTTCCACAATAGATACCAATCAATCGAAGGCCACTCGGCCGGAAACGGTATTCTTTCACGATAGTCAACACCGCAGGGAATAACGGTGTTTCCACCGTATCGCCTATAGATTGGACCACAGAAGTGGCTACCCCGATCTATCTCTATAAGCCCAAGCCAATAACAAACCCTTTGCTACCTTTGAAACCATTTCGGAAGCGAAAGCGAAGTTCAGAAGTGCAAACTTCCACTCTTTATCTATCAAACGAGGACCCTTAGGCGGTATATATCAAAGGTGTATAATTTTCCGCGGCAGGGGATTCTCCTAGCCCAGAATAGGGAGGACAAAATAGAGTTAGTCTATATTCAACCGCTCAAAGCGGAACCAGCGTCGATACGGTCTCTAGTGAAAATCGTTAACGACCTTTCTCACCGCAATTTTCCACAACTTCTGCGCCATTACCAATATAAAGATCACACATTTTTGGTGTAGGAGTCGGTCGAATGCTCTTTGTCCTAAGTTCTAGGATCTAGTTACGCCCTTACCGAACCGAAATCGCCTCGATTGTATAGCCAGTATATCTAATGATCCATCCAACCCATCTCACGCGCTTTTAGGAGACATAAGCCTGTTCCGAGGCCATTACTAAAGCTCTATAGATCATTATTGGAATCAGATACCTCCGCAATTGCGATAGAGCGCTTACTACACTCACCAATGATAAGGTCCTATTCACAGGATCCGGTGGGGTCAGGATCGGTAGGTTAACCTATTGATTGGGCAGTGTGGTGATTGCAGCTTCTAATACCAGTGTCTTACCAGCTGGTGTGGAACGTAGTTGAAGCTGACGGCATTGTCGAAGATGGTCAAATCGGCTGTCGTACATGTGGTCGATATCTACGCCGAGAGTCATGCCACATATTCAACACCAAAATTGCAGTATTGTTTGTTTCGAAGAAAGAACACATTTCAATTCTGAACGCTAGGTCCAACTTACACCAAGATCACATTGCCATACTAGCTCTCTTGAGTAATTTAAAAATAGCATCTGTCCACGCGTGAGAAACGATTTAAGCTCCACTCTCCATTCCGACTATCTCAACAGAATCCTTCCAGAGACGATCCTCTTCCTCGGGGTTATATGTTTGTTTCACCCATCCCGCACCAAAAACTTGGCTATCATCCTCGCCACGGTCCGCTTCCTTGCAGTCCTCAAGATATTTGCCACCCTTTGCCTCCCATTCCTTGCCCACAGCCGCCCACACAGTCGTAGCTGCCCCCTGTTGGGAAGATTTCAAGATCTTCAGAATGTAAGGGTTGGTCATCATAGCCTCTAAAACTTCGGGAGGCATGTTGCGGGATATATCAGTGTTGATCGCCCCGGGGTGGAGACTGGTAGCATGTAATCCCTGGGCGCCATATAACCGCTCGATGGTATTGGCCAAATATACCGCTGCTAGCTTAGCATTGTTGTAGGCAATTTTATGGTCATATCCGCCATTTTCGAAGTTGTAATTGTCGCGATTTGGGAGGGTGGCAGCTCGATGTGCAGATGAAGCCACGACCACAACGCGCGAATTAAGCGCTGGGGTCACACTGGCTAACAAAGCTTCCTTCAGAAGTTGAAAGAGGAGGAAGAATCCTAGATAGTTGCCAGCAAATTGTGCCTCAATACCATCTTCAGTGACCGTATGGTTTTGGAGGCCCATGACACCCGCGCCGTTGATAAGAATATTGACCTGGCCCTTGCACATAGCAAGGATTTCTTTGGCCCCGGCACGAATGCTCGCAAATGATTGCAGATCCAAGTCGATCAGCGAGACTCTGCCGGGTTCCAGAATCCCGGCAAGGTTCTTTTCAGCCTCGGATCGGTTGCGGGCTGTTAGGAGCAGAGTGGCCCCGGTGGCCGATAAGGCACGAGCTGTCTCGACACCAATACCCGATGTGGCTCCAGTGATAACAATGACCTTGCCAACCAGCTTGCCCTCCACTCCCTCATCTTGTATGATTTGAAGGGCGGTTGGTCGTGCATCTCCGGCACCATGAGGGTCGAGATGCGCGGCAACGTAGGGGCCTGATAAGCCCATGTTGAGAAGCAGAGAAGACTTTCGGATAAATATCAAGGTATTATGTGTTCAATGAATCGAAAATGATGGCTATTTATATGTGCCTCTTCTTTGTATCGTTCGGTCTCCTATTTCTCCGTCTATGACAGATGTCCCTGTTTATCGTCGTTTGCGACCGCAAATTATCATCCACATCCCGCGCGGTGCATGCGGTGATCTTTCCCCATTTGTCTCCCGTTATTTCGGCCGCCGAAGTCCGCCAGAAACCGAGCTTTACCCACCTTCCACCATCACCATGCAGACTCCCAATTGTGAATCTAGCCTCAACCTAGCCTTGCAGTCCTGCCAATCCTGCAGGTCGCGCAAGAGGAAGTGCGACAAGGCACTCCCCACATGCTCCCTCTGCGCTAAGTAAGCACGAAAGAGTACAATACAGCAGCAGAGCTAACACAAAATGTAGGCGCAATCGAAATTGCGAATATTTGAGACCAGAAACGCTCGGTTACTCAGCCGCCACTTCAAGCCCGGAGCGAGAATGGTACCCCTTTCTCCTTGACGAGCAGGCAGATGTTCAGACTATTGACTTTCCAACCATCTTGTTTCTCGACCCGGCTCTTCTACAGCACGGCTTAGTGGAGGCGTCACCTGCGATAGGGACTGTCCCGCGGTATATTTTACAACTATTAGGCAATTTGAATGAAATCCAGCTCACGGCAACGCGGTTTTTCAACCATATTCATCTATGGATGCCCTTCATCTCAAAGAAGCGGTTTTACGACTTGTACCTGCGGCCCTCATTCCACTCGAGGCCTGATGTCGTTCTTCTTTTATTGGCGCTGAGGCTCATCACTACTTTCCCACCGGCTGGTTCTCGCAGTCCCCGGACAGTCTTGTACAACTCAACTAAACATTTTTATTTAAACGTCGAAGGATCTTTCTCTATCTTAACACTACAAGCTGGAGTTCTTGTTGCTCTTTATGAGCTAGGACACGGGATCTACCCGGCTGCATTTTTGTCGATCGGGACTTGTGCGAGGTATGCCCATGCCTTGGGCATTAATGTCAGTCGTACGGTGCCCATTAGAAGAGTGCTCACTTTGGTGGAAGTTGAGGAGCGACGAAGAGTCTGGTGGGCTATCGTCATTTTAGACCGGTTCGTCGCAGTCCACCATGAGTGCCGTATTTGGATCCTAATGCCAAAAAGTTTTGTGAGCATCGGCTCTCCAGGACGGCCCTTTGCAACTGCGGAACCAAAATTGGATGATCTTTTACCGGCCGATGATGCTGCATGGGACCAGGGGGTATGTCAATTCGTGCCCATTTTTTTTTCTTTGCTGCTAATCTTTAAACAAGACTGTCAACCCCGATAGCCTTTCGAGGCTCTCGTCCCCAATGACGGGACACATGAGTAAATTTGCTCTGCTTTGTCAAGCTGCCAGGCTATTGGGACAGGTTCTCCACCACCTCTCAACCGACTTGACCGGCGAAGATGATGTTTGGATACAGCTCGATCGTACCCTTCAGTCAATGCTAACCGCTACATTGAATATTGACCGCCCAGACTATGATCAAATCACGTTTGTGTACAGGTTAGTACTACGATCATCACCATTCACTAATACAGACCTTGACACCAAGCTTAGTGCTCTAGTCGCCCTACACACGCCCTGGCTATCATCCAATGCAGTCCAAAAACTTGACACCCATCGTGCAAAACGAGCCAAGGCTATCCTTCAACAAATTACAGAGCGTATTAGTGCGAATCTGATGGAGCGGCAATGCTTCTTAGGTCGGAATCCAGAGGATATGTCCCCGTGGGGTCTTTATTTTGCCTATCGCATCTGTGGGGCCCATATGCTGACCAGTAGTAAAGCACCGCATAGTCTTGAGATTGTTAGGAGCCTGCGTGAGGGGTTCATGAGTATTAATGTACGATGGAATGTTGCGGGTGTTTATCTACAGTTATTAGAGGCCCAGGAGGCTGTCAATCTAGAGGCGTGAATTTGGTGTGGTCTATATATTTTATTCCATCATGTTCACATCTTCCTATCCCATTGTGAGCAGAATTCAAATAAAATGATCCTTATCTGTAGTCCTATGGCTTTATACACAAAGCATCCATTCTACGCATTCGTAGCGTAGTATGTACGTATGTATGTACATACTCTATACCCCGGACTCCACCGATAGCCCTCTGGGCAGCCCCCGACTTTTAGTCATCCAACTCCGAGCTCCGAGGAGCGAGCCCCGACAACTACCTATATCGTAAGTTCCCTTTTAACTAATATCACCAGATCATATCAGATGCCCATACGATGGCAACCCCCCGCCGTAATGGTCAATTAGCCTCCTGTGAGCCATGCCGTATGTCAAAGTTGCGATGCGATCATACCAGCCCTATTTGTGAACGCTGTGAGCGCCGCGGTCTTCATTGTACATATCACCCGGCACCGTTGACAAAGCCCCTCACTGGAATACGACCCGAAAAGAAACGCCGCGTTGTGTGCGAATCAGATTCTGCTAGTAATGCTAGCCGACTGCAGAATGAGAACGACGTCTGGACTCGGAAACAAGCATCTGTCTCCGCTCCGGGATTTCTCGGGCAAACTAGTTACTCCGATGCGTTTACAGATACCAGAAATGGTCTCCTTGTCGGAGTTCCATACCTCACAAGCCACGATAACTTTCCCGTTGACCAAAAGCGGATCAATCTCGGTGCTCGGGTCTTGGCGCTTCTAGAGAACCTCTCATTTTATAGAGATGTGGTCACCGCTCGATTCAAGATATGGAAGGGATGGAGTCTTGGCTGGCCAGTCACCAACATGATTTTTACTGTCGTTGAGAAGATGTGGAACTCCCTAGAAAATGAGGGTATGGACACAAACGAACGGGCTTTATTCTTGTCTAAGAAACTATTTGAAACGCATAGCCGGGGACTTGAGGTGCACCCTTCAATGACCTGGGAAGACTTCCAGTCTGCAGCTGCTGGAAGATGGGAATTGATTGGGATGATCTTTACTTTGACAGGCCTAGCTACTGACTGGGTCCCTCACAGCGACCCAATCTTTATGCGTCAGAATACGATGGATCCAAAGAGTCTGGCTATAACCGCAACCGCTGTAGGAGATATTTGCCTTCAGTTTTGCGATAGCAGTGGAATTGTGAATGATATTGTAGGCTGGCTGCTATTGCATCAGGTCAGTCTTTTGGCAATAGTCTATGGAGAGAGTGGTATGTTATCTCCTTCTTTGGCTGCTATCATTACTTAATGAAGTTCTCAGATTTTAGACCATGGAGAAAGTTGGGAGACTTATCGACAACGGTATTTGCCCTCGGGCTTCATCAAGATTCTAGCACAAAGGTTCCTTTTTTTCTTTCTGAAATGCGAAAAAGAACTATGGTTGCGGCGTATTCAATGGACAAAGTGCTCGCCACTTTCCTAGGTCGCCCGCCCCTTATCAGTTGGCGGTACTGTGATATCCAGATGCCACTTGACTTGAGCGTTGAGGAAATATTTGCCGATTCAGTTGTTCGTGATGCGGCAATCGCTCGATTGGATGAGAAGAGCGGATGGAATCTGGAATCCAGTTTGATGAAGGGCACGTGGCCACGAATTGCCTTGATCACAAGCGTTCTCCGTGAGAAGGTCTTGGAACTTTCATTAAGTTGCCAACTCGATAATCTTAGCCTAAGGGTCGAGTATGCCGATAGTCCAATCTGTTGCGAAATCTAAGGCCTAGCTAACGTTCTCAGGCAGCTTTCACGCGAATCCCGAGAATTACGACAGGGACTGCCAGAATTCCTTCATTGGAAACCCGATATTGACGGCCTTGTCTTTTCGAGGGTAGAATATGATCTCCTCTTCGGGATTCATATAGAGTTTCTCGACAACGATTTCCTGCTGTACCAAACCCTCGCTAGACGTACCCAGACACAGCCCGAGGCAATTATTGGCATCGCTCGAGAGATACTCAAAGCATTGGTCACTATGATTTCCGAGAAAATTCGCTCTAGGCAGCCTATCAAAGATATTGCATTTAATGTGAGTTTAGCATATCTTTGGCTGTGCCAAAAAGCCGGAATGCTGAAATTCGAAAAATAACCTCTAGGTGTGCTTACCGGGTCTCCCTTCGGCCGGTCTTCTCTGTGCGGAATTACTGCGTCAATCCCGATCGACGGTGATAAGCTCTTTTCCGGGGTTTCCTCGCTCAGAGATCATTCAGAATTTAACCCTTTTCGCGGCCTATCTGGATACCATCATTAAGCCCCATGACGGTAACTACCGTGTCGCACAGCAGGGTCAGAGGGCGATCCGTCATGTCTTGGACCAAGTACTGTCCGTTGAAGGTCTATCCTCGATTGTAGAAGATACTAGAACAAGTGAGAAATTGATTAGTGATGCGAGCTTGCTTGACGGGGTGAATTTCGACGATCATGACTTATTTCTTGGTTGGCTTGATGGCAATATGCAACACATGTCCGACTCTTGGCTAGGATGGGTGAATTTTACTTGAATATTTCAAGTTTGTGCAATAAAACATCATCAGCGATACCAACTGCATTGGTATTTCAAATTTATTGGTGTTCATGAAATATAGTACATCGGATATATCGGAGATAAGCTGCCCTGGCCTACCTGCCCGCCCGGCCAGCCAGCTGGTTCAAGGCTTACCTAATAAATGCTCATCCCCTGTGCTTCGTCCTGCGCTTCAGGTCACTCTGGTTTCCTGTACCTAGTCTCGTAGTCATCCCGAGCTTTCTTATGTTCCAAACTTCCTATTGCGATGATCGACCAACCAAGATGGACCAACCAAAATCCCAGTCCCACCCTAGAACAAAACGTCGGAAGATTGCTGTTGCCTGTGATGATTGTCGAGCACGAAAAGTTCGCTGTGATGGGATACAACCGGGTATGTTCCTGCAATGTGTGTGCATACGGAATGCGACCCGTCCTGACTCAATGAAGTGTGTGGGCCATGCAGTAAGAGAACTGGTCAGGGGTTCCAATGTTCATATACAGGGGAGTTAGAGAAAAAACGAGAAAGGCAAATGTAAGCGTTATGAATTCTATAATTAAATCAGCCTCCGTTTGCTGATCTCTGTTTCGGTATGTAGTTATATATCCATGTTAGAAGCTCGAATACAGCAACTTGAAAGCCCACAGCTCTCAGAAAAGGTTTATGGATCAGAATTCACCTTGGTTTGTGTGTCACAACATTTCGGCTCCATCATCTAACGAATCCATTTACAGCAAGCAAATCTGTCATCACCGACGCATGGTGAGGTCGAGCCTGAAACACATGGAAATTATACACGAAGCACCCATAGTCACGGTGACATATCCACCCCCACGGGTCAAAAATACGGGGTAAATGCGATGATGGGTGCTGTCGAAGAAGAACGTCCAAGTCAAGGTTTCTTTGGAAGTTCTAGCGCAGCCGGGTTCATGCGTCAAATTAGAACCGCGGTTGACAGGAGAGTCGCATCACCTCACCGAAGATCTTCAGCTCCTCATTTAGCTGTTCCTTCGAGTTTGATGCCAACGCGGAGCGAAAAGCACAAGTCTTCAGTGGCGAACTACGTTCTCCCCCCGCGGAAAATGGCAGATAGCCTCATGGAGGTTTACTGGGAATGCGTCTTCCCATTATATCCCTTTCTTGTGCCGGCTGAGATGAAAACCGAGTATAGGAAAATATGGAATGGTGATAGCCTGAAGTGCGATGAAAACATGCTGATGTGCACGCTGAATGTCATCTTTGCCTTGTCAAGTCAGTTAGCTGATTTTGTCCCACCCGAAGCGCGAGAAGCATCAGCAGATGCCTTTTTCTCCCGGGCGAAAGACTTGTTTCAATTCAATCTTTGGGATACTGGATCAGCAGCTTTGATTCAATGCTTACTTCTCATGGCTCAATATCTGCAAAGTACAGATTCTGCACATCACTGTTGGATTGTCACCGGACTCGCGATCCGTAATGCCCAAAGTTTGGGACTCCATCTTCCCCAACACATTGCCCGCCTTCGGAGTTTTCAAGAGCAACAGCTGGCGCGCAAAATATGGCACGGTTGTATCTTAATGGATCGGTATGTTCAACACTACGCCCTGACCGGCTAATTTCTAGCAAGGTTCTAATTTCAGTACTCTCAAAGCGTCATATCTATGACATTCGGTCGACCTGCAATGATCTCAAAGGGCTCTGGTGGGGAGGTTCCCCTGCCAGCTGCAGTTGATGATGAATATATCTCATCTGGATCAAGCAATGAGGTTTCCCAGCCTCCCGGTCAGCCTTCAATGATGGCATTCTACGCTAAGTCATTAGAACTATATGAGATCATGAATGACGTGCTCATTAGCTTTTACAAACCAATATCTGATGAGAATGCGGAAGATATTCATGACTTTTGTTTCGATAATGCTGCAAGCGAGGGAGAGCGAACAATATTCGAGCTCGACCGCTCTCTCACTCGATGGACGCGAAGCCTTCCTCTACACCTACGCGGGGATTCATCGGCGGTATCCACAAATCCTATATTCTGCCGGCAAAGCATTGTCCTGCGTGCGAGGTTAGCGATTTATACTAATGCGTCTCAGAGATCTTGCAATAACTAATTCATATTGTTTTGTAGATTTCTACACGTGCGGATGCTTTTGTTTCGGCCAACTCTGTCTAAATACTGCGCTATTCGAGATAATACAACATCAGACCCATTGGTCTCGACGAACGACTCTTTCCCCTACCGGGTTGCGCTGCAGTGCTCTGTCATATGTGTCAAAGCTGCCCAAGAGTCTATCGAATTAATCTACAACAATGTTCCTGCTGATGGGACTGGTGGTCCCTTGCCAGCTTGGTGGTATAATATCCTTTGTTCGTATAGACTCCCACAGTTTCTACTTCTTGATTCTTACTTATTCAGATGTTTACACCTCTGCAACGGTCTTAATCGCTGGTCGTTTATGCTCTGCAATTCTTGCCGAGGTCAAAGAAATTTCGATTGTGCAGTCTTGGGACTATGCACTAGAGGTTCTTCGAAAATACCAAAGTTATAGCACATCCGCTCGTCGCTGTGTGGCAGCCCTTGAAATCCTTTATGAACAGGTTGCCTCTGAAGGTCTGCTGCCGATCAGCTATGAACCGAGTCGTGAGATAGGGGCCAGCGCAAGTGCAGGAAATGATATGGCCTTCGGCGAAGGAATAAATGTGGCTATATTGAATAGCTTCGAGTTTCCTGATTTTCAAGATATGTCATGGTTGAACAGTGTTCCGAGCAACCTTTTCTAGATATCTAAAGCGTTTGGCTTACAAAGTTCACAGCAAATCAATCCATAGATTGAGACAAGATTCGGGAATACACTCAATCCCCCGCCTATTCAGGACAATTTCTCTTCTGATGACTACTTCTTCGTACTTCTACAGTCCAAACACAAGGCAGTCAGTTATGATAGAGGACATTGCTTAAAGGCAATAGATTGGAACACAGGAGCAACTGCGACTAGCGCTTCTCCGCACGAGTCGAAACAAATTGGACTGCAATGACTGGAACCAAGGCACATCCACCAATAATCGCAACCATGACACCGGCGGCTCCACCAAAGCTCAAGGCAGAGAACATATTCGGGAAGTAAAAGGCTCCAGCCTATAGGTAGTATGTCAGTGATTAAACACGGAACATTAATCTAGGAATAATCTTACAAATCCATATATCTGTCGCCATATGTTGACAAACATACGAACCTGACTGGCCTGTTCTTGTCTGCTTTCCACGGCAGATGTTATGAGAATTTCTCGTTTGCATCTGATTACCGAAGCTTGCAATGGCAGCACCAAGACAGGGTGTGACGCTCCATGTGGTTACACGTTGTAGCTGGAAACCCCAGGTCAAAATACCGGCGAAGATTGTGGCAAATGCAATGTAGGACAACCACAGACGATTGGCGAGACACGACTTGCCCCTAGATTCGCGAATGCGTTTTAAGAACCAATCACTCATAGGTCCACCAACTTGTTCACCTAACACACAGCCGATGATAATAGCGATGAATTGCAGTCCAATCTGTTGAGCGTCGAAGTGAAACTTCTCGCCAAACGCGAGAGGCATCTCAACAATCACTGCAATATTCCCATAGCAGAAGGTAATAGCATGTGCACATGCTATTATCAAGATGCGTGGATGTTTCGCCAGAGAAAATGGTGCAACGAAGTCCAGAGCTTTGAGAGAATGAGAGCTGATCTTCCGTAGGATTAGCTTACCCCAGTATCTAGTTGTTTTGCGTTCGTTTTTGGGATTCTAGATTGTCTCATCCCCAATTGCAAGATAAAGCAAAAACTGGGAAAAGTTGAGAACAGCAAAGATCCAGAAGATCCAGTCCACACCGATATGTTTGACCACGAATCACATAAAGAATGGGCCTGCTGGAGTACCAATAGTGATCATCAAGGTCTACCAGCCTATCTTTTTCCCTCGATGCTCGGGTTCAGACAGCTCTGTTCCTAAACCGCTCCCATTGCCAATGGGGGGTGATATTAGAAAGGCTGTGAGGACTCTGGTAGCCATTTGTCCGCCATAGGAAGTACACCTCGCGCCGCCAATGTTGCAAACCATGCTTCCCAGGACCGAAAGGAGCGCGACGTGGTATCGACCGTAGACAGCGATGACGGGGTTCCATATCAGGGGAGATATGCCGAAAATGAGAATCTAGATGATTGTGCGTCGATGAGCAAGTACGTCACAGCAAGATCGAGAGGTTAATGGACAGCACACATACCTGGGATGAGGTCAAATAAATGGCATCTGGTACTGTGACATTGTACTGCTCCGCGAAGGCGTTGTAAGCGGGGATGATGCCGGCTGCCATGAAGGTCCCCATCATTGAATGAAATGCGACCAACAGAATCTGCGCCTTTTTATTTCAGCAGGGTCAGTTGTGTGGATTCTGTGGTGATTCATTCTCCCAGATTTCGATATCTGAGACCTTGCAATCTAGGGGAGTTGATCTCACATTCTCCAAGTGAGCTGAGATCTCCGAGGTGGGACTTTTCAAAATTTGATTTGCTCTAGCTGTACCAGGGGCAATATCTTCTGCATCTGCCATCTTTGGATAGAGCAGTTAAGGTCACAAATGGATAGGATATTGGATTTCCAGTGTATTTGCAATGATTTGGCACCGTGTAGTTGAGATTCGGGGAAAGTGGAGAGAGAATAAGTTGAATAAGGCAAGAACCGATGAAGAGGAAACTCAAGGAATTCAACAAACGACGTGATGAAGGGCGACTTGATGCGGATGAGAGATGTTTGGCAACGAAGTGACAACGCATTGATATTTTATCACTGTTTGCATTATCGAGGGAGTCTCATTGAATCACCGGTGAAGTGGATATCGCACTATGAAACGACTCAATTCGGCGCTGATTTTGTCAATACATAGTACCTGCTCAGCAACTAGATGTATATTATCGGACCTTGACCCGGTAAGAGGCTTCGAGATGTGACCCGAAACCCCAGTCTCCCGAATACCCCGATCTGATCGACTGTTTAGTATGTATATAATGGAATTATAAGGGCGGAGCGAGAGAACTGTCTCTATATTCATGATGATATACTTATAGTCATCAATCTTGCTAGATGCTCCATTGGGATAAAGAAATAGACCAAAAGGAACAAAGAGAGATCTAACAAGCTATATAGAAGCAATATCTCAATGCATTAGTATAGCATATAAGTATACTATGTACTAGATATTCTCTATGATTATTCCATGATTTCTTATCCGCTACATAACAAAGAATGTCAACCCCGAGAGTGACTCCATTAGAGGGCACCGATGAAGTTTGGGAGCTCAATCAGTACTGTGAGGCAACGGCAAATGATTTATTTTAGCTTGACATCCGGTACTTTTTCTTGTTTATTGTTGCGTATTCCAAGTTTATTCGTCAAGCAAGCTGAATATGCTTATGTTGCCTAGTATCTCAGGCACATGTCTCTTGATCTCTTGACCTCTTGCTCTCTTGACTTCTTGACTTCTTCTTTTCCCCGTTTGTTTCCAATTTATATTATTCGCTCCATTTATCTCATGCCCCTAATTCTGCCGTATTGGGGACCAAATTCTTTCGATAAAAATCTCTCCCTTTAACAACAATCTCGGGCGAGCAATGACCGAGCAATTTCTCCGTTCTCCGTCGAAACCCCGCATCCCCAGACTTCCCCAGATAATCCTCCCCGTGGGGTTAATGTAGAGTGGTGTTTCCCCAGCTTAAGCTTGGAGGCTTTCAGATTCAAGTCAGATTCCCTATTGGCGGATCTCAAAATCCGTGTTCAAAGACAAAAGGAAAATGAAATCTTCCCAAGGTCAAAGAGGTCTGTTCTTTACTTCCATGTGCAGTCGGTTGATTCGGGGCATTGATTTCCCGACGTATTGGGATTTATAAATATCTATAAAGACAAGCTAGCAATTCGTGATGATTTTCTCAAAACAAAAACCAATTCGCCAATGCCCCACATGCGGGTTTCATTGTTAGCAGCGTTCGCGGCGGTGGCTGCCACTGCGACGGCGCTACACGTCGCAGAAAATCAGACTCATATCACACTCGCCAACGATCGACTGACAGCTGTTCTTCGGAAGAGTGTGGGCCAGATCGTTGATCTCGCTCTAGATGGCCAGGATTTATTAGGCGCCCAGTCGGGATCCACAGGAATAGGCCCCTATCTTGACTGTTACTGTATCCCTTCAGGCTTCTACACAGCTGGGGCCACATCCCCGAGCATGGAAATAGTCCAGGGCACAGATTCAACTGGAACCAAGTATGGAGGCATGATTCTGAGCGACACATACACCCCGACTGGCCAGCAATTCCAACAGTACTGGTTTCTGCGCGATGGTGAGACTGGTTTGCATATGTTCAGCCGATTGGCCTATCATAATGCAACCACACCCTACCTTCGCAATCTGCAGGAGTTACGAACCTTGTTTCGTCCAAACAGTGATCTCTGGACGCATCTGACGTCTAGTGAGATCCAGACCGCACCTCTACCAAGCAAGGACGCCATTTCAAAGCAAATCGTTGTCCAGGATGCAACCTGGACGTTCAACAACACGCCAAGCGACCCATACTACACCCAGTTCTCTGACTACTTTACTAAATATACATTCTCAAACCGTATGGTCAATCTCCTGTCCTATTCAGTTACTGATTGGTGTGTTGACTAAATCATGTCCCTGTTTTTTAGAGTGGAGAAATAATAGTGTCCATGGCCTCTATGCTGATGGCAGCACCTCAAATGGGGCAACGTATGGAGCATGGCTGGTGATGAATACCAAGGTTGGTTATATTGCTTCAATTAAACCAGGATTGAGTTCCATCTAACATAGTACTCCAGGACACATATTACGGTGTAAGCGATGTCGAGCTCGGTGGAATGCAGAGCTAACATTGCTTAGGGTCCACTCCATTCTGACTTGACAGTGGACGGTATCGTTTATAACTATATCGTGTCAAATCATCATGGGGAGGGCACGCCAAACATCACAAATGGATTTGATCGAACGTTTGGTCCACAATTTTACCTTTTCAATGGCGGCAAAAGCTCAGCATCCCTCCAGGAACTGAGATCTGAGGCAGAAGAACTAGCAAATCCTCACTGGAACGCTGCGTTCTATGATTCTATTGCAAAGCATGTTATCGGATATGCTCCCTCGAGCCAGCGAGGTAGTATCAAGGGAACTGTGAAACTTCCCAAGGGTGCTGTTCGCCCAATTGCGGTTCTCACTGTTGATGGTCAATATTTCCAAGATAATAGCGCTGTTCCAAGCTCCTATCAGTACTGGACTGATATCAATCAACATGGAAGCTTCAACATTGATCGTGTTAAAGAAGGGAAATACCGACTTACCGTCTACGCAGAGGGCATATTTGGTGACTTTGTGCGTGACGGCATCATCATTCATGCAGGAAGGCAGACCGCACTGCACGATATCTGGAGCCAAGAGTCGGCAGGAACTGAGGTCTGGCGAATTGGGATTCCCGACAAGTCGTCAGGGGAGTTTCGACGGGGCAATACGAGAGATTCAACGCACCCGCTCCATCCTCCCGAATATCTTACCTATTGGGGCGCTTATGACTGGCGTACTGATTTCCCTGATGGTGTCAACTACACTATCGGTACTAGCAACCCTGCTACTGATCTTAACACTGTCCATTGGTCGGTCTTCGGGCCAACAGCAAAGGATTCCCACGTCGAGTATGATACAACGTACGACTGGAACATCCATTTCAAACTCAACCCCAAGCAATTGCGCAAGCGTAAGACAGCCACATTAACTTTACAACTAGCGGCCGCAAAGACCGCAGCAGGCAACACAGATGTGTGGAACTCCATCGAGCCATACAACAATTTGTCCTTAGAAAGCTATATCAACAATCAGGCAGATCCCCTGACTCTCATGGTTGGGTTCAATCAGTCAAGCAGCTGCATTGTGCGGTCTGCTGTAAGCTGCTACCAGATTGGGTCAAGAATGGAGTTCCCTGCGGATTGGTTACACGTCGGAGATAATGTCTTGCGATTGCATTTACCTTTCAACGCAACGGATACAGAGACTGCCATTCTCCCGGCTACTGTCTATGTGCAGTACGATGCTATCCGACTAGAGCTGCAGTAGTATGACTCTTTCATGGCGTGTGTTGCGCTCTTGAAACTAGCAAAATCAAACTCTTATTCATTCTTCTATATTAGACCTAAAAATAGCTAGGGCATATTTCCCCTCTCGTTTCGGTCATTTAGCAGATAAAACCAGCCTCGATACCGTCAACTGGGATGACTGTAGCCAATATAATACCTCAGATGTAATGATATTTGAACGGTTCCCTTCAACCTCACAGAGATAATGGGATGGAATTAGGTCATGCTCCTTTGGAGGAAAGTATGAATAAAGATGCTTTACCCGAAAAATATCCAAGCAAGGGCATCCTATTCTCAATAGAAATAAATACAAATGGTCAAAAGTCTCAGAGACTGGCGACAAACGGAAGACAAATGAATGGCAAGATCTGCTCTCGAAGACAGCGAGCCCACAAATCTGAGAACACTGGCCTAACAATATAAGATAACAGAGACCCTTGATAGGTGTTGCAAATGTAAACATATGTACTGCGTACTGGTATCCATTTCTAGCCTTTCTCCCCAGAGCCCGCCGCAATTGACAAGGTTGACAGTGCTCGTTGATATTTCCATGGCGGGAAAGGCTGCACTCAATGAAATACAATTTACAACAGGCCGCCAAAGCTGACACAAGGGACGGCAACACCGACGAGGTTTCCGTTCTATTGAAATTAGTGAGTCTGTCCCTTTTGCATCTTCTTGGGGGAGCACATACAGCCTGCGAGTTGGAGTTCTGGCAACAGGCAATATTCTGCTGGCAGTTCTTCTTAAGGAAGTCGGTCAGGCCAGCAGCGCCAATGACTATAACAGAGTCAGTCTTTTAACTTAATTCACTGGTGCATATATATATCACTTACCCGAGACAGGGATATCAAGCTGAGTGCAGCCTTGGCCGATGCCGAGACCCTCACTGCCAATGGCACCGAGGACATTGGAGAGGACACCAACGTTGTTCTGGCTGATACCCTCATTGTGGTTGATCTTGTTGCAGCAAGACATCTTGGCACCATTACCACACTGGTTCACTGCGTTCTGGACCTTGTTGTCGGACTCGGGAGCAACACCAGCGGGAGATCCCAAGCCAGGCATGGCCATGGCGGTAGCAGCGAAAAGGAAGGCAGGAACGAAGAACTTCATTTTGATGGAAGTTTGGGAGGATGCTGAAAGCGATTGAGGAAGGTAGGTAGGTTGAGAGACGTGGGAAGACTTTGAAGATGAGAGTGTTGATGGATAAAGATATAATATCAGGAAAGATCATGCCTTTTATAACATTTCTGGTTCTCAATCTGATCTCTTCCATATGTTGTACCTTTGGGCAAGAAACCCCTCATTGATCTTCGGGTATTCCAGCATCTGAGCTCCTATCACTGCAGGGGAGTGGATGCCTTTGAGTGACTTGGTCGTGAATTATTGCCTTTGACCAGCAGAATAGGGCTTGGCCAACATGGATTATCGGCTTTCAGGCGGCCCATGCTCAACTATAGGCTTGAATATGCATGAATGTGTTCAAGTGTTTTCTCTGCCTGTATTTTCCCCAGACGCCGGCGGGAAGAGATGCATATACAGAGTAGGTGCATGGAACCTAAAAGTTGGGGTTGCTGATTGTGATCTTCGGCATTTGGACGCCATTTATTATTTTTTTACTTTTGTATCTGCGTGTGATATCTTGGCCCCTGCAGGTAGTGGATTCCTCGGTTGATGAATCTGATCTATCACTTCCCATTACACCGATCTTCTTCCCTTTCTGGGGCAGATTGTTTGTCTTAGCGTTTCATTTCCTATATTTCTATATTTAAGCATTTAACAGGTCGAAGCATCGTTGGTTCTCGATTTGAAATCGTTGGTTGCATATGTGGGGAATCTCCTGCGTCGTGCATGACGCACCCCTGTCAGCCATCAAGAACCACATCTCTATCCCCAGGTTGGGAGGTCGAATCACAATTCAGTGATGTTCTCAAGTCCAAAAAATGCCATTTTGGGAAACCCAAACCCATAAACCCCCTGTCCAAACTCACCACATACGACTACAGGCAAGATATTTTCTGTGTCTATCAAACAAAATAAAAGATCAAGTATCAGGATATGCATGGCGTCGTACATCCATCACAAAGTTATCATATAGCCCCTTGCCTACCATGTAAAAGACTCCTCTACAAATTTAATAGAGTGGTAGCCTTGTCGCATCGCAAGATGTGTCGCAGCGCGTGCTTCATCCGCCATTCTAGGTGGGCCACACACAAGGATCGCAAGGCTAGTACTGGCTGAGCATGCATCACAGGCCCGGCTCATGATCAGGGATTGAAGGTGGGGTCGACCTGACTGGATATCGAATCCAAAATCGGTTGGATCTTCAGAGGATGCGCTGGAATCACGGGTAGCGTAGAAAGAGGCCCGAAAGTCCGATCTTTCGAGGGCGGGTTTCAGTTCGCGGCGAGAGACATCTTGGATGAATGCCGCTTGTTTTGTGGTCCAAATAAGCTCCATGTCTTGGACTCGTGTTTTCTCATTTTCGGGATTTTCGTCCCAGGCTTCATCAGATCGGCGGAGGTGATCTTGAATATAAGGCACAGCCGACGCTATTCCCGTCCCCCCGACGATGATCAAGACTGATTCATATCTCCACAGTGGAAATGTTTCTCCATAAGGGCCTTCAAGAAGAATGGTTGTTTCGCCTGTCTTGCCTGGTGAGCTTAGACATTGTTGGCGTAACTGTTTGGTCCAACCGTCATACGGGCGGACCCAAAATGTCAACTTCAACAATGTTTCTTGAGCTGAGGAGCCACTCTCTGAGTTGGCTTGATAATCCTGCTCGGGGGCACTGCCTGCAAGAAGCGGCACATGCGAAACATCATGCAATTTGATTGGCCTTCCCTTGGATGTCGTTGCCAATGAGGTCCAGTCCTCTGTTTCGTAAGACCAAGCTCCAATGGTAAAAGGATGGCTCTCCCATCCAGTAAGCCGAAACGGTTGGTATAAATAGTAGTACTGTCCTGGTGAAGGCTGTAAAGAAAGCATCCCTGGTGTGATCTCCAGCCGCACCACGTCGGCCATTTCGTCGTAAACCATGCGGGTCGCAGAAACCTTCACAAGTCTTCCGTTTGAAATGCTAACGTGAAAGTTACAGTAACACAGCCGCACAATTCGAAGGAAGCGATCAATGATCCATAAAGCTACCGTTGGCCACAGATACTTCCAGTATTCGTTCCCTTCAAATACAATCGTATGGCTGTCAACGTTAGAAAGATTTGCGGGAATTTGATCAATGTGGATTACTTACTAAAAGCATCCGACAAGAGCCATGATCGAAAACACAACATGAGCAATCAAGAAGAGCTCATATGTCGCAATGCGAATCCGATCTAATGAGGTAATCAATAGTAGGCTCATCACGAATGTGCCCTAATATGACATAAGCCTTTGTTTTTTTTTCTCAATCAGCCAAATTGGCAGCCTACCAAAATCCCCCACAAAACATAGGTCTTAGACAGACCCCTCCAAGCTTTGCCCCCTACGATTTGCAATGTAAGTACTCCGTATTCTGGCTTGCATTTGAAATCAAATACCCAATACTTACTTTGAATAAACATGACAACGTAAAGGATAGAGTGCACTATTGCTTGTACAGTAGTCACGCGGGCCACGTGACGATGGAATATATTGAACGATGCAAAGCTCCACCCGGTGGCCCATAGGAAAATATTATTTCGTCCCGCAAAGAGCCATAAAAGAGGCAAATTTGCAAATGACATGATCCCAGTACGGTCTGCAGAATAGCGTAGAATCTGACTTAGGACATCGGACCAGCTTAACTGTCTGTCAGCATTTTCCACGTCTCACTCCCATGGGCTTGGTACATACTAAATATTCCCGGGGAACGTGCGATAGCCGACGACACTCAATACAATGCTGATCATCCAAAACCCCACGACTATAAGCGCCTCGACTCTGGTGGAGAATGTGAAGCCTAGCAAGTGTCGACCATTTTTTGCTGTCAAAGGCCCTGGAATCATCACATGGGTCTGGATCCAGTGAATACCTGTCCCCAGCAACGGGATACTTTCTAACAACTTTATGACAGGATACACATTGCATTCTAATGCACGCTCTGCACGTCGTTGTCGGCGGTGGAATAACCAATCAGCCAAGCGATAGGCCATCCCCAGTGAAAGTATGCCACCCCAATATGCATAGCCAACATAACTGATTGGTCAATATACGAATTTTTTGCTTATCACACCTTGAACAGGCTTACCTAAATGCATGGTGTGACCAAGTTTCAAATTCCCAAGATTCCTAGAACGCCGGTAAGCATTAGGTCTGTTATAATCAAGATGGTCCAAAGGGTCTCACAATTGTCTTGAACATTAGGTCAAAGTAAGACGCAGAAATAAGGACAGGGGCGTCCGCTGGTTCGCCTCGGGACAACTCTTGATAGTCGACCGTTTTCATATTCCTTATTGCATCCTCTGTCAAATTTTCAGCAACGGCTTCTCTCGACAACAGCTCTAGGTTCCCAGATTCTTGGCACCGGTTAGCCAGCTGAGTCAGACCTATCGCACGTTCCCGCTCATTGCAATATATCTCGGATGCGGCATATATCGATGCGACTTTGAGAGGATTCCGGCATTTCGATTCCCAGAAGTTTCTGCCTTTTGTGGGAAGACCAGCAAATGATACATAGTCATATGCCGAGTAGACAGCCGTCACACACCGCTCGTCCTCGATGTTAGCCCAGACACCCTGGACGAGTACGATTACCAGCCAACGGAGCAACATAATGAGTCCCCAAATCGTAGGCCGGTCCGGGGTGAGCGAAGAAAAGGTTGAACAGGAAAGGCGGAACACCGGCAGTACTAGCCCGATAATCGCCCGCACTGATCAGGTGGACCCATGTGGATCATCGAAGTCTCTGAGCCGTTGGACCGTTATATCTCTTCGGCCAAAACTCCTGACTAGGATCGGGAGAAGGGATGACTTAGATCCCGACACAAAATTTCCCAAGAGAGCTACCTACTCCGTAGAAAGCACAAAAATAGAAGAAGGAGGCGGGTTAATTTGTGGGAGACTGGGAATCCAAGTGGACCTTAATGTCTTATCTGATCTGATTGATTAGAGAACCGGCCACGTGATACCATGATTGGCTTAGCTCATTTCAGTCATTTCGCCCGGGGCCGAGGTCAGTCCGAATTCCAACAACCGTGCGGAGTACGGAGTACCGAGTACTATACATATGTCCATACTGATTTTATTGATATCCAATTTGGTTTGAGGCATTATATATATCTACTCTACTTGGGCAATGTATTCAATATTCTTTTCTATAGTAATATAAATTGTGAAATGTTATAGACCCCCGATAATGCTCGCCAAAGATATATATCTATTTAGAAGACACAGGAATACCTACTGCGACACCCGCCAAAACTTTCCCGCGCTTATTATAGCCGAACTTCTCCAATAATTTATTTAGATACACCATTATCCTAAATATGGAGTTCAATAAAAGCTTTGTTTTGAGAAAAGTTGACTGTGAAACACGATCATGTGATTTTCGATCTGATGTTTTGACACCTAAGGCAGAATTTAATTGTCGGCGCAGATACACCAGGATACCGGAGGATTTATTAATCCTAAGTATGCAGTAATATTTCTTATGTAATCAGGACAGTATAAATTGCCAGGAAGTCAATACAGCAATACGGAGAGTTAAAGACCATTGATTGGACCCATACATTTCCACCATACGGAGTAGTCGGACAGTTATGAGCCCGGTTCGCACTGAATAAGACTACTATATCGGTATATAGTACCTAGCAACTTGCTAGAAACTGTCTTATAAACCTCCACGAAGCCACTCCGCAGAAAGTCATCCCTTGTTTTATATCAAAACAACACAGTATCCAGCAATAGAAACAGCATCGATTCTCTCCGCTATAAAGGGCGATAAACTGAAGGATACACCGCAATGGCTCACCTGGTTTGCGAAGGTGCAGCTATACGCAATGTAAAAAAATATCTGGGATCACTGCAACCCGGATACCCCGTCAACTGAACGACCTAATACTCTAAAGGAACCGGTACAACCAGAATATCCTGAAGAGGGCACCGAAACAGATCGAAGGAAATAGAGAGACTAAGCAGACGTGTATAAAATAAGCTATGCTCGATAGGAGAAGTAAGCAAAGGGACTGAGTGATATAAATGAATATATCCTTACCTATCTTGACCCAGTACACCACCTCGCACTGATTATATATCGTTAGTCTTCCGCACGACCCAGTAAAACCCAGACCCAACCCAGACCCAACCCAGTCTGGGTTGGGTTTTTGGGTCGAACCCTTCGACCCAGTACTGGGTCTGGGTCGGACTGGGTAACCCAGTACTAGGTCTAGGGCCCCAAACTGGGTTACAAACTAAACAAACATACTAAGGATTCTAAATGTATAACTTATGCATTTATTCGCGGTAATTTTGAGTATTTGCTTTACTTGATTATATCTAATTTTATTTGTAAAAAGGGTAAAAGAGATACGTATAATTGAGGATTCTTTATCAAGCAAGCTAATAGTATTCAAATAAATCATCTTCCCTGCTTTTACGTTTTCTCCCTGATACTCGTGTCTGTGTATAGGTTGGTGGTAATAATAGCGAGCAAGGACGACCATGTTCACTTGTAGGTAAGGGCCTCTCCTCCGGTATATCCTCTGGTCTATCCTCAATTACAACCTCAATTGTATCCCCTGGTTTATCTTCCGGTTTATCCTCCTGCTCCTCTGTATCACTAATTGGATCAACCTCAATCTCACTAAGCTTCTCTTCCCTCTCCTCTTTTGCCGCCTCAAGCTTATCCTAGGAGAAGAATTTCTTAAGAAGTGTTGCTTCCTGCTCCTCTATATCAAATTTCGTTGTACAAAGAAACATCATTAATACCTCGACAGTCTCACTCTTTATTCTACCACGACGATAGTGACAAATATCTCGAGCGGTATTAAAGAGGCGTTTAACTCCTGCGCCAGTTACTGGAAATAAGAGTGTATCTCGCGCAAGGGCAGCAATAGCCGGAAAGCGAGCCTAGTGCTCTTTCCAGAAAGTAAGCGGCCTAACAGAAACAGTATCTATATATATATTAGTATTATTATTGTATATACTCTTTGTATTTACTTACCGCTATCAAGATATTGACTGATTTTATCAGTAATAGCTCGTGGTTGTATATCCCTTCTATCAAGTATCTCCTCTAGCCTTAAGCTTAGATAGGCTATCGTTAGATAGCTTTGTAGATCACGACTGCTTGTTCTAACTTATACTTGATATAGAATAAGGGCTTATTTAAAAGCAAGTCGATAGGTATCTCGCTATTTCTGATCCCAATCACTGGAGAGGAAGAATTTGAATTTGTTCACCGGTGTAAGCATTGTACTGATTATATAGATATTCCCTCGAAGATCATCAGCTTAGGAGTAATACTTATTAAGCTTAGACCGACTAGCTTCAAGGGCCTCTAGTATCTGTTTCTTCTATAGGACACGCTTTCGGCGTAGCTGTGCCTGTGATCGCTCAAGATAATCGAATAGTTTGTTGTAGATCTTGAATATATAGTGGGCAGTGACATCTCGAGTCTTTGATAGCTGTGTTATATAATCAAAGAAGGGCTCGGTAATACAAAGAAGATAGTCGATCTAACACCACTCTTGCTCGCTGAGTAGTATCTCCTTACAATTATACTCTGTACAGAATAAAGAGAAGATAGTACGTAGCCTCTTTACCCGGCGAAGTATAAGGAACGTAGAATTCTATTGTGTCTTTATATCTTGGATTGGAACGATCTTGATATTAGTTGTCTGAAGATTGTAAAAGGTCTCTCTGCGCTGGGGACTTGTATTGACGTAAATCGCAAGATAACGGACTTTGTTCAGTGTGGAGGAGATCTGACTTTGCTTCGTATTTTCTTGGGCTAGCCTTAACTGCTTCTCTGTCCACCTTGTCTCGGCTGATTTATTTAATAGAACTGCCTTGATCCGAGTAAGAAGCTGATTTAGGCTGAGCTGGATAACGTGGGTAAGATATAGTATTCGGGTGATAATAGTATTATCTGACAAAGCCTATTAGAGAGTAGTAGCTAATATCTTGTTGTTTGATACATTATCTGTTGTTAACCCGAATACTTTATCTTCAATATTGTGCTCCACTAGGGTTTCTATAAGAACACTACTTAGGTAAGAGCCGGTATATATACCATGAAGCGGCTTAAACCTAAGTAGTACCTCACAATATACCCAATCACTGTTAATAAAATAGCCAGTAATAGCCATAAATACCTGCGAGAATAGAGATATCCAGCAGTCAAGCGCAATAGATATCTTTAAGCTAGAAGGCAGCGTACGAAGGATACACTGCTACCGGTCTTTGACTAGACTACCCAATCGGCGACGGATAGTATCGGCAGATAGGATCACTGGAGGGGATAGGGCGGAACGAGCTTTATTGATGATATATTTGAATGATAGATACTCGATCAGATAGAATAGGAGCCGGTTGAGAGTAAGAAATTGGAGGAGATCCTCCTCCCAATCTTCTTATAAGAAGGGTATGCTTACTGAAACCTCTCCCTAGAATAATAATAAATTAGTATAGTTACTTAGTTTTATGATATAAAATATACCTCTCTTTGTAGGAAGTTTATAATCTCTGCTTTCTTCCCCTTTTCCGACCGTAAATAACCAGCCGTTTTCCGATGTTTCTGGATAGTTGATATGCTATAATACTGCGCTTTGCCTATACTGTTCGGGCTTAGTGTATAAGGATACTCTAGGATCTTCCCACAGCGCTTATATATAACCTTTGGTACGCTATCAATACCCTAAGCTACCTAATAGTAGCTATTCTAGATCTCTGTATAGCGGTTCGAATCCTATTTAAGCTTGCTTTTCCTCCTGTAGTTAGTCTCTAACCACCAGTCCACAAAATCGTTATATGATATTGTATCGTATAGAATAAACCCTTTCCTACGGTCGGGTCCAATGCGTTTCAATAAAGGGGGGATTAGGAGGGGATCATCTGGTCTTCGGAAGTTTAAGTCGATTGTGTGTTGACTTGCGGATAGTGTGACTTATCCAGTTGAAATATATAAGAGATCGTCAAGATCACCACCATAGAGCGACGATACAAAGTCGGAAAGTTAGCTTTGAGATATAATATAAGAATAATATATAATATATACAAAGGGATGTAAGGGGAGAAATTCTTTAACGTATAAAGGAAGAAATACACTAAAGTTATAGAAGTATCTAGGAATATTGATATATCAAATATAGTAAATTATCCTACTCTTATTGATTGGTCTATTATACTAAAATTATATAGGTCTAAAGAAATACCCCTGAGATAACCCAGTCAAGACCCAGTTATAACCCATTTAACCCAGTAAGAACCCAGTAAGAACCTATTTAACCCGGTAAGAACCCAGTAAACCCAGTAAAACCCCAGTCAAACCCCAATTCCCACCCCAGTTCTATTAATCCTTCTCAAAATATTTCTTCCTACCCTCCCTTCAAGTTGTATATACCAAGTAGATTAAGAGGTAGTAAGTAGTTTTGAATATAAAGGTTTACTAGATATCTATCTATAGTTATATAAGCTCTAAAATTAAACAGAAGAAGAGAAATAAATAAATTCAAAAATTATTTTACTCTATAGATAAAAATATATATTATATTGATATATATTGAATATATATATCTACAACTTGGGGTATACTTTGTATTTTAAATAGAATG